CCACCCCCCTACCCCCTCTCACTCTTTCTCTGTCACAGTAACACTAAACTTAATTGAAAATATTAATTAATTTAAAAATTGCCATCTTGTATATATATATTTCATTATGTTATAGGGAAAGGGCTTTACATAAGTTGGACAACTTGTGCCCGATCCCTTCTGTATATTAGATGCAAATAAAAATATGTTTAAATCAAAAACTCTGGTTCACTTCAGATTGTTATACCATCGCTCTAACCAATTGAGCAACCTAGTCCATGGAAGTGTGCTAGCCCAACTGTGCTCCTGCTTTAGCAAAACGGAAGTTAACGGATGGTTACTGTATAAACGACGTAGCACAGTGCATTTGTGTAGAGATCCTAAAATTACTGCACAAAATGTTCATTATTAACATACACGATTATTATAGTATGTAGTGACTGGACCAAGAACACAAAAACTTTCTATTTTGCATATAATTAGATATGGTCACCAGCCTTATCGGACTACACACGAGAAAACGCGCTTATAGTGTTACACAATAATTCAACCAAGAGCACACAGTCTGTTTAGCTTTACGTATCCGGATCGTTATTACTAGAGAGAATGGTATACACATCTTTGATATGATTATCTCTTAATCCCATCAAGCATCATAGCGTCTGTCCACCGGAATATGACCTCCTAATGTCAACTCACTAAATCAACATCGAAAAGTACAACGTAAAACAAACTGAACACCATTTGAGTCCCTAACGTCAACACATCAGAACAAATCAAATATTAGAGCGTCAGCCCTACGGAACATATCAGATCCTAGAGTCATTTCAACATCAAAAACAATAGTGTCAACATCAAAAAAACAAAAGTGTCAACATCAAAAACAATAGTGTCAGCATCAAAAACAATAGCATCAACTCACTGGGTCAACATCAAAAACAATAACGTCAACTCACTGGGTCAACATCAAAAACAATAGCGTCAACTCACTGGGAAAACATCGTAAATCATAGTGTCAACCAACCAAAACATATGAGCTCCTAGGTCTAATCATTGGATCAACTTAAGAAACTATGGCGTCAATTCACTGGGTCAACACCAAATACAATACTGTCAACCAACCAGAACATACAAACTCCTAGATCAACACTGGATCAACATAAAAACTAAAGCGTCAATTCACTTGGTCAACATCAAAAACAATAGCGTCTACAAACCAGAACAAAAGCGCTTCTAGTGCATTTCACTAAATCAACATTGAAAACCAGAGCGTCAACCAACCAGAAAATACGATTTCCTAGCGTCAACTCACTTGATCAACATCGAAAACCAAAGCCTCAACTAACCAGAATACCACTTGAATCATCCAATATCCTAGCGCCAACCTCATCAAAGAATATTTGAGCACCTAGCGTCTACCAAGGAGAACAACATATATAGGCTCCTAATGTATCAAAGGTCATAGCGTCAAAGCGTCAACACAAAATCAAAACAATATAAGATCCCAGTATAGTCCCTAGAACAGCAGTCTAGTGGTAATGATATAAATCAAACAGGTCAATGTGGAACACAAATGTTTATTGAACAATATTTTGTCCAGGGTTAGCCTGAAAATTATATTCCATTGTAATTTTCGTAACGAAGAAAATACTATATCCATAGTTCATGTTCTCACATTTTCTCATCCCATATTATAAACAAATGCATGTTTATACATGTATAGTGTTATTTGGCACACCAGAACAATCCAGGCATGGTGAGCAGAATATGTAAATGTATCAAATTAATTCAAAAGTCGTTAATTTTCATTTAACTGTATCATTGTCTTCTATTCAAATCGGAATGTACAGTTCGTGTTCTTCATTTTCTCCTGGTAGATTTTGTCGAAAATTTCGTTTTGTGCAACAGTGAAATGGTTCTTCCAGTCTCCAACCTCTCCTGTCAATGGAAATAAAACACAATATCGGCTTAATAGATGTACAGAAGACAATCAGTGCCACTTAATTAAAGGGACAATTTAGTGAAGTCAGATTTGTTTATAACCTTATCACAAAATTCTTAATGATAATATAGTTTAATACTCCTTATGAACAGTTCATGTTGAGAAATTGGCAAAAGGCAGTGTTTTGTTGGCTTTTTTGATTAGTAATGGAGAAATCCTTAACTGTACTGCCGTACTTTTTAGCGACAGCTGTCGGTGAATTTCTAGCTAACAAAAATGTCTTTCCAGCAGAGGAGAGAAGGTAAATTCTCGCTTTATTCACCTAGCCTCTCTGGAATACAAGTATATGCATTTCTTTTGAATCAAAATCATCTTCAAACAGCATCTCAAACATCGTTATAATTGAGTGTGTTTTACGTTTAAACCTATTGATATCGTACTTTCTGCGGTTTGAAATTCTCCCTATGGTACCCTCTCAGTGCGTGCATATTCAAATGTGACAGAAATATCTGATATTATGATATTTATAATTCTTACCTGCGATGTATTGTGTAAATTCAAGAATGTGTTATGTGTGAACTCATGATTCATAACTGACACTGTGTTGTCGGTCGACAGCGTAGGACTTTACATGTTTACTCATCACTGATGTTGCGCTATTTCGGTCGTTGCTATTTTTACCCAGGCTTTCCCAAAAGATGAAACTGACCACACTGGACGTTGGCTTCAGGTCATGTCATTGCCAACTACATAAACTTTCGTATTACGGTTTGATTACCACGGTAATTATGGTTTGAATATCACTGTTATTACGATTTGACTACAATGGTAATTACGGTTTGAATATCACTGTAATTGCGGTTTGAATATAACTGTAATTACTGTTTGACTTCCACAGTAATTACGGTTTGAATATCCCTGTAATTACGGTTTGACTGCCACGGTTATAACGATTTGACTACAACAGTAATAACGGTTTAAATATCACTGTAATTATAGTTTGAATATCACTGTAATTATGGTTTGAATATCACTGTAATTACGGTTTGACTACATGTATCACGGTAATTACGGTTTGACTACCACAGTAATTACGGTTTGAATATCACTGTAATTATATATGGTTTGAATATCACTGTAATTACAGTTTGAATATAACAGTAATTACGGTTTGACTAGAAAGGTAATTATGGTTTTAATATCACTGTAATTACGGTTTGAATATCACTGTAATTACGGTTTGACTACCACGGTAATTACGGTTTTAATATCATTGTAATTACGGTTTGAATATCACTGTAATTACGGTTTGAATATCATTGTAATTATAGTTTGACTACCACGGTAATTAAGGTCTGACTACCACGGTAATTACGGTTTTAATATCACTGTAATCACAGTTTGAATATCACTGTAATTACGGTTTTACTACCACGGTAATAACGGTTTGAATATCATTGTAATTGTGGTTTGACTACCACGGTAATTACGGTCTGTCTATCACTGTAATTACGGTTTGACTACCACAGTAATTACGGTCTGACTACCAAGGTAATTTCGGTTTTAATATCACTGTAGTCACGGTTTGAATATCACTGTAATTACGGTTTTATTACCACGGTAATAACGGTTTGAATATCACTGTAATTACGGTTTTACTACCACGGTAATAACGGTTTGAATATCATTGTAATTATGGTTTGACTACCACTGTAATTATGGTCTGACTATCACTGTAATTACGGTTTGACTATCACTCTAATTACGATTTGACTCCAATGATAATTAATTTTTGATTACCACGGTAATAACGATTTGGCCACCATGGTATTTATGTAACTACAATGGTAATAATGATTTGGCTACCATGGTGTTTGTGATTTGACTACTACGGTTATAATGATTTGACTACCATGGTGTTTATGATTTGACTACTACGGTAATAATGATTTGACTACCATGGTGTTTATGATTTGACTACAATGGTAATAATGATTTGACTACCATGGTATTTATGATTTGACTACTACGGTAATACTAATTTCAATACAGCGGTGATTACGAGATCGACGGGTCAATGTCATATTTGAAATTAGAATTAAAGAAAAGGTTCCGGTTGATTTCCAGCAATACTAGAAATGATATAAGAAATTTAAAAACGGATACACCATAGTAAATGTAAGAATGTAAAGACTACCTCACAAATGTTTAACAGTAAAACCTCATTATGATGCCCTTCATTTGTCACCTCGCTTACTGTCAACATATTTCAATATCACTTTTTCTTGATTTCATACAAATTTATGTATACATTTCCCTCAATGTATTGCCAAATCCCTTTATAACGCCAATTATTCTCTGGACAGAAGATGGAAATATAACCATGTTCTATTGTACATGGGTCAAACTTGTATACCACATCGTCAGAATCATAACATACGTTGAGATACAATATATATAAGTATATACCTTTTCGATATATCGGCAATTTTTTGTCGTCTGACATTTGGTGTATGTAGTCCTGGTCGGATGGTTTGATCTCCTCCATGACGGTCTTTACCATTGTTTTAAAGGTACTTCTGTCGGTGACTTCCTCCAAGAATGACTTGTCATATGTTTCACAAAGAAACGCCGCTATCTTGGTGACGTTGGCGAGAAGATCCTGCAAACGGTCAAACTGTTTAGTACATTTATGCCAACACACAAATATGGACCTGTTTGTTTATGCAGAACAACCTGTTTGTCTGTGTTAAATTGATCAGTTTAGGGGTATAAAACCTGGCGGCCCTGCAAATGTTTAGGCAGGTCTTGTTAGGCTTTGTAAAGGCTCGTCGTCTGAAAGCAGCATCAGATTACTAGGTCCGGCCTTATTTCATAAACGACCTACTCTGGCCCAACCGGTCAAACCATTTGGGTTGTGTGAAACGAAAGCGGTCCAATGTGCTCAAAATTTCAGAGATTTTTATTGTTGATACGCAACTCTTCTCTTCCCTAGAAAATATATTAATAATGCAATGCTAACTTCATTGTACCCAAAATGGGACACGTTTTAGAGAAATATCAATATACTTTATACCATTCTATCAATTCCAACAATGTTTGTTAATTTTTCTTAAACAGATACCATCCACTTTTCATTTCTACTAGAAGTGGGTATTTCTGGCAAGTGGTTCTATAAATAGAACGCAAAATACGATCAGGGTCATGTAGGCCCTTGAACAGGTGTTACTGTACCCTGGAAGAGACACTTGGTACTTCAGCTAATATTCGAGAATAAACGATCAATATCGGCAGAAAATTATACATACTTTAAAATACATTAGAGTCAAAGGGAGCTCTGATTAATTTCCTTCTCCAAACCAGTGGTAGTTTTGATAAAATAAACTTTTCAAAATGATATCCAAATAAATAGCATCGCACTGCACGTTAATCACAAGAGTTTTGTTCATTATTCTTACATTTAAATTGTCCATGTAACGATAAATCAGCAGCTGAAAAAACGTTGATACAGTTTAATTGTCATAAAAGTATCATCAAGTGAAAACTGCTTACATAAATATACTTCTTTATATTGCATGGCGATTCCTTGTGCCGTTTTGCCACAAGTGTCCCGTTTGGGGTATACAGTGATGATAAAGTTCCACTCAAAATACAAAAGTTTTCTGAGGAAGAGAATTGTCATTGGGTGCGGAACCCTTGTAGTTTAGGTGTTATAACTCAACTTAGAATGTTGAACATATCCTTAAACAATGTCGAATAAATGTTAAAAAACTGATTTTATTCCGAGTTTTCAGAACGTTGTTATACTTGAAAAGGTAAAAGATTTTCTAACAACTGCAAAAAGCGTACGTACCTGTTTCATATCCTCGTATATAAGGTACAAAATATTATCTCCTTTGTAAGTGGCTTTTGTATTTTCCCAGTCAAAAAAGGCATCGAACCAGGAACCGTACAGCACTGTAAATAGAACATTCAATATTTATGTTTTCATTCCTAGGCGTTATAACACTTTACCTTCAGTAAATAGGATTGTATATTACATTAAATGCTGAAATCCTCTGCCTTCCTCAAACCAATACAATTCGCTTCCTTATAAAAGACCGATTGATGAGGACATACCAATCTCACGTGAATATTACCCCGATGCGATGTGAAAAGGTATGGGGCTATATGTACCTTCCCGACCGTGTTTGTTTTCTCCGGGTATCATCCCATATAACATGTACAGGCAAGGACGACCCCCTCACGCTAACACCCGGGCAAACAAGAGTGAACATACGTTGAAATAATATGTTTCATTGCTCGAAGCATTTTTTCACGGATAATGTTACATTTTGTACAAATTAAGGAGAAAACTATGTTCTCGTGTGTTCATTATAGACAGGTGTCGCTGTAAAAAACAAACTATATCAATTCTCGTATTAAACACTAACCAAAACGATGGTCTCATGTGTTCATTATACACAGGTGTCACTGTAAATAACAAACGGCTGGTGTTTGACGAGACAAGGGTAAAGATGAGTTACTTACTTCTGCCTTCTGAATAAAACCTGAGAAATCCCTCCCAGGAGCCTTTATAATCAGGAGCATTCAATTTCGTCATAAAAATATGATAAGAAACCGCCACATCTTTCGGGTTCCGAGTAATCAGCAATACCTTGCCCTTTCCCTCCCTGACCTGCCGTGGAAGCTGGTCGAATGTCAAGTGAGAAGCCAAAAGCCGAGGAGATGGCAAGTTGTCCAGTAAATCGATTTCGTTGTAATCCAGGAAGTGCGGTGACCCGCTGTAAGAGGACTTTCCGGTCCGGAGCATACTGGCGATCGTAAACACCCAGTGGGTTCCTGAAACAGGCGTTTTTGTTTGAAAACAATGTAAAGAAAGGAAATATACCATAGTGCCTTCACATAAAGAGAAAACATTCTAGGGATGCATTACATAAAGACAAAATGAGTATACCACAGTCGACACAATATGACAAAAAATATCCACAGCAGCAATACACAACGACACAATATACCACAGTCAACACAATATGACAAAAAATATCCACAGCAGCCATACACAACGACACAATATACCACAGTCAACACAA